GGGGGGGGCGGGTTTAGAGACTCCATCAAAGGAGCTCTATTTAAACTCACTATCCAGAAAAATTATTTCCAAACGAAGTGTAATGTCATTGCTGACATGGTAGTGACAGGTATGAAGCACTTATTAGCGTTTATAGTACTTACATTGCAATACAGTTTAAAAAAACAAAACAGACTTATATTTAGAAAATAAAAAGCTTTAGGAATTTTATTGCTTCCAAGTAGTAACTTGCTTTGGATCACTTAGGACTTTCACAAAGTTTGAATAAATTAGTATGTGTTGAAATATTTGTACTGTATTCACTTAAGCAGTCTGTTAATACAGGTGTTTTCACCACACCCATCTGTGTGTCTGAACACCTACCGTAAATCTACCTTGAGCCTCGCTATCCTTATTAATAAAGGTGGGGAAAAGTTTGAAGAGTTAGATTGGTCTGCAGAAAACATTGCTCATGTACTTGCAGAAACCCTTGTGTGCTTATTCTGATCTTGCACACGTTTGTCGTGTGACATGTTGCTTTTTTTGTCTGCTTTGCTCATAGACAAGGGTTGTGGTCATGATAGGTCTTAATACCGAACCCAACTCATTTTAATTTGCAATCTTGTCTGTTTGAGTACGCCTTCTTAGGGCATTTGTGGTGCCAGGAGACTGTAAGTGGTGTCTTAGAAAAGTCAGACTTTTCTCGTACAAGGTAACTGGGGCATGATGGAGGAACAGGACTTCAAGTATCAAAAATTACTGTCCTCTTTGATAAAGATAGTGTAAAATCTGATCTCATTGCATTTAATTCTTGTAATATTTGTCTGAATTTTGTCAACTTTAGTTGATATGACTGGATTTACATGCCCGTTCCCTTGTAAGCAGTTAAGCAAGGAGTCTAAACTAGTGAAACTGTGTGGAGAACATGGTGAGGGGAAGGGGTAGAAAGATGGTGGTCTCCTCTGGACCACGACAAGGTGTTTCACTTTGGTTTTGTAGAAAAAAATTATGTCAGATATCAAAAAGTGCTTCCAGCTAGCTTCATCCCTGTGTCGCTGCCTCCTTTCTGGTTGTGTGCTATATGTGTTTAGAGTAATAGGCTACTCATCCTCCTCCTGTTGACCCAGGCGGGGACCTTGGGGGCAGTGGTAGTGGGGAGAAACACTGCCAAATCTCCACCTGCCAAAGTGGTTGATACTTCCTCGTGCATCCCTGCGCAAAGGGGTCGCAGTCTGACTATACTGTTCATTTCTGTAATGCAAGAGATGCTCCAAGGCCACGTGCCCCATCTTTAGGGCAGAAGTAAAGATGTAGAAATATGTCTTTCACTGCTTTCCTTTATTCTACAGTGTATATGTAGGCAGCACAGAGGGAGAGAAATTTCCTGAACGTTTGTACAGTTTTATACATGGAATTGCTTCTCGCATGCTAATACTTACTTTATGTTTTCCTTTAGCAAATGCAGTATGTCCATGGTTGACTTTTACTGGCATGTAGATTTGTGGAGAGGAGATTACAAAGTTGCAAGTATTCACAGAAAATGAAAAATTTTATGCATAAATGTTTGTGCCAGGAAAAAAACCCACTTAATCTGGTTATCTAATCAGGAAACAGAAACAGTATTGTGTAACTTATCTGACAAATCACTACCAACCAACCAGCTTAGCTAAAAGAGGGGTTATCAGAATTGGAGCAACATTTAGAATGTATATTGAATTTTAAAAAGTTGAATGGCGTATTTGAAGAATTGAAGATTTTCTTGTGGATAGCATGCACAGTAAAAGGAGTCTATATTTATTTGACGGTTTGTGTCCTGTAAAAAGTCACAGTAACTGTATGCCTGAGATAGGCACGGTGATCTTTTATTATCAATCATAACCTGCAGCTGATTTTAGAATAATTTTGGAGGCATATGTTTTACTTTATACAATATTTAAGAAAATAATAGAAGAATGTGATTTTTTGGGTTTATGTGCAGAACTCTTATTATTAATCAGTTTAGTAAATGTGCAAGCATTAAGTGCTGTGAATATTTCTAGGTAGGCACAGGCTGTAAAGGAGCAAAAGGTATCCTGTGTATCTTTGTGAACTGCAGCAGGGTTAAATATGATCTATGGGATTTAGATCTATATCTGGGTACTTGGTGTCATAGTCAACTTCAGTTTCTCAGTTCAGTGGGTTTGTATTATTGAGGTTTCAATCTGTTGATGTGTGTGTTTTGTCTTAGATAATCTTTTCGCTAACCATACTGACTCATTATTGTTTACCGTTAAGGATGTTATGTAAAAAAATTCTATTCTGTTTTTCTGATGTGTTAAAATTGGAGATTTTCTGTCATTATTGTGCAGCCCCAAACTTGACCATTTTACTTTATGATTACACATGCAAACTGGAATTTTAAATCTATTGGGTGGTTGTTTACAATATATTTTTCCTATTTTGACTTCCCACATAGATATCTGATGGAAAGCTTTTTGGTAAATCCTTTGGCAACATCAGAACAAAACTAAATGGATACTGATTAGTTTTTGCTTTCAGTGGTTTTTTTTTATTCTTCAGAAAAATATCTTGATGATTTTATCATTCTTCATGGAAAAATAAGAAGTTAAGGAGGTTGGGTGGTGCTAGAGAACACTTTTATAAGAAAAAAAAGGATGTAGCATACAACATTCCACTTTATGAAAAGCAAGAGGAAGAGAAGTAAAATTATTTATGAGGAGATTGTGAAATAAGACAAGACACGACAAAACCAGCTGGTTAATGTAAGCATAGGGATTGGAGTTGATCTTTTTTTTTTAATTTTTTTTTTTTGTTAGTGGTTTACCGGTGGTGCTGCTTGCCTCCTTTAAAAACATACCAAACAAAAGCTTAAGAATAAAAAATTATTGTTTTTCTTAGCTGCCTTCGTCTTTCACCTTTTTGTGGTGGAAGGGGATGTTGGAAAGGGCTGCAAGGGAAAGAAAATTATAACAAAGTTTTAAACACACACCCCAAAAGACAGAGGTGACATTACTGAATTTAGACCAGCTTTGTTGGTGATGAGGGATTGGTTTTGGTTTTGCAGTGGGCAAAAGAAAGGGGTGAACGTACTGTGTGATTTTTTTTCTCTTCTCTGTAAGCTAGTAAGGTCTGCCAGAGATACTGGTTCTGAAACAGATGTAATATTCAGGTGGATCTTCATGAGTGAAAGAACTGAGAATTGTCAGTGTACAAAACTGAGGCTGTTGTCAAGGGAAACTTTTTCTTACCATTTGTATCTTTATGCAGGGAATAAGAATAGTGAGCAAAGGTCCCCATGGGGGTTTTCTTTAGAATCAGAAATGGCGGTGGGATTGAATTCTGCTGTGCATTCTGGTGTTTAA